TATGTGAGATGTAATTTTAACTTTTGTTTGAGTAAATTTAGAGAAACATTGAATAGATCAATATATTTGACGATTCTATGTCCGGCAAACAAATCCGTGAAACGACTACACACGTGCGTATTTGTCCGGCTCGCTGTCCGTGCTCGTCATCCTGATCGACGGATGGCGAGCAAGATATGTACGCCGAACACGCGGATACACACATACGAATTGATACGGATCTGTCCCGCGTACATGTCCGCCGTACAGATCCGCCGTACATATCCGCATGTGAATGGGGCCTTAAGACTAGGGACTTTTTTCCTGGCATAAGCTATTACCACAGTCTAGGCCTCGTGTAAGAGGTCTAGGCAAGCTACACTAGTACTACCGCTGGCATCAACACGTCAAAACAGGAAAAAAATTGGTGGAGTGGTGTTGTGCAGCATGGTGTAACTCTTATTTAACAAACTTTGTAACTCGGAAAGTAAGCAATGTCTGATTGCTCTGGCTTGTCGTTCGCCATTGTTTAAAACCAAATGATAAATACATTATTGTTGTTAGGTATGGAAGGAGATAATGTACTCATTAAAATCGAACCAAAGCAAGAAGAAGAAATCCATTCCTTTCTTCAAGGACACATTTCAGTAAGCAACGAAGTTTTGATAACAGTAAAGAACGAAGTTACGATTACTACACCATGTTTGAAACCTCTTTATAATGAAGAAGTCCAGCAACACTCTGACTTTCAATGTCACCTTTTAACACAATGTAAAACAGTGTCTAACGATGTTAAATGTGTTGATTGTGATTGTGGAACAAATGATAAACCCAACTTTAAACAACATCTTTTAAAACGTAAAGTTTCTAATGATTTTCAATGTGCTAATTGTCATTATGGGACAAATATTAAAGGCAACTTCAAACAGCATCTTTTAAAACATAAAGTTTCTAAGGATTTTAAATGTGCTGATTGTGATTATGAGACAAAATATAAATCTGCTCTTAAAAAACATCTTTTAAAACATAACGTTGCTAAGGATTTGAAATGTGAGGATTGTGATTATGAGACAAATAGTAAAATGTACTTTAAACGACACGTTAGAAAACATAAAGTTTTCAAACATTTTAAATGTGCTGATTGTCTTTATGAGACAAATTATAAAAGCCGCTTGAAACGACATCTTTTAATACATAAAGTTTCTAAAGATTTTAAATGCGCTGACTGTGATTATGGGACAAATGTGAAATCCACCTTTAAACAACATCTTTTACAACATAAAGTTTCTAAGGAATTTAAATGTGCTACTTGTGCTTATGGAACAAATAATAAATACCACTTCAAACGACATTTCTTAATACATCAAGCTGCGAAGGATTTTAAATGTGCTGTTTGTGATTATGGGACAAATGATAAAGACAACTTCAAACGACATGTTGTAAGACATAAAGTTTCGAAGGATTCTAAGGATAAGGATTTTAAATGTGCTCATTGTGATTATGGGACAAATGTTAAACCCAACTTTAAACAACATCTTTTAACACATAAAGTTTCTAAGGAGTTTAAGTGTGCTGATTGTGATTATGGGACCAACGTTAAAAGTGTCTTCAAACGACATCTTTTAAAACATAAAGTTTCTAAAGATTTAAAATGTACTAATTGTAATTATGAGACAAATTTTAAGTCCGATCTTAAAAAACACCTTTTAACACATACAGTTTCTAAGCTTTTTAAATGTGCAGCTTGTGGTTATGGAACAAATCGTAAATACCTCTTCAAACAACATCTTTTAACACATCAAATCGCTAAGGAGTTAAAATGTGCTAATTGTGATTATGAGACAAATGTGAAACGCAACTTCAAAGGACATCTTTTAACACATAAAGTTTCGAAAGATTTTAAATGTGGTCATTGTAACTATGAGACAAATTTCAAATCCAGTCTTAAAAAACACCTTTTAAAACATGTAGTTTAGAAGGATTTTAAATGTGGTTATGGGACAAATAATAATACATAATCATTAATGTGACGAGGACTGCGTGGCACTGGTGGTGCAGTGCCGAAATAATGGTGCCTCCCGGATACCGGGAGAGCTCAGAGTGGCGGATGATTTCCTTCAGGCGGCATTTTCACACGACTCATGGGAATTGTATGAATTTGAATCTTAAAAAACCCTTCCTGCACCAAGACCTAAGGCTGTGTCTGGACCATTGGCGGGGGCAAGGGACCCATCGTTGCAGATTGCAGGGAAGTACCCCAGGGTATGACTCAGGGGAGCCTGAGATAAATCTCAGAAGTTCTGGGGTACCTAAAAGTTGCGTGTGCACCACGAACCTATGGCGAAGTCACTGTGGCAGGGCTCAGGGTGGGCATTGTTCTGGTGTCGCACCCAGAGCCAGAGCCTCGGTCCAGGTGCATCATGGCTGCATTGAATGCAGTCATTGGTGAGATACTAATAATAATAATATATTGCGTTAATAATACAAAAGTATGTTACACTTAAGTATTTCTTTTCATTTAAATTTAGTCATCTATTGTGACAGACTTAAAAGAATTTGGGAAGCTTATAATTTTATTTTTGGTGCGTATATTGTAGTTGTGTGATCATCGTGTGTTGGAATAAGAATTAAAAAATGATAAGCCCCCAACTATGCTCAGTTTCCACATAATGACATGGGTATAAATCTCAAGACCTCGGTAACCACTACCTGTACCTCATAACTCCCCTGACATTGGCCACGTAAAGACACAAAACTGAAGACGCTTAAGAGATGGGTAAGGCGGTCTTCGGTTACGGATGCTACGCCCCTAAAGTTGAAGGTTCGAAGGCCCTCGGATCCTTTTCTGCCTTAGCTTGTGAATATTTATTCGTGAATGTTACAAGTCACCATAACCTAAATATATCAAACATTGCAGGCCCTACTTCATGGAAGTCGAGGTTCTACACACACATGCACCGTGTAACTGAGTTAAACGTGGCATAAACCTGAGATATCGTAGACTTCCACAAGCAGATGGACATTATAGTTTACACTTAGCATGTTGTAAATTACATATTATTATTATACTATAATGTTATAATATTATATATTGCATGTTACGACACTAGCAGGCGTGCCTTGGTGACAAATGGTAACAGTTTTATTGAAACTATTACCTGTCCTCTTTCTTCCCTTGTCTTAAGGACTTTTGCTTTCATTTAAATGCGTACAACATTCTAATCAAAAATTGTATGGCAGTTTAATAAAAAAAAAAGAGCAGTATGAAATAAAATTTTTTACATTATTTGTATGTTAAATCAGTTAACGTTACTCGTTTCGAAATTTCTGCCTCAGCTACGCTTCGGCAGTAAACATCTCACTCGTTAACGTAAACCTTGATTTACCATACTCATATGTAAATAACTATTACTTCTGTCCATTAAAAAATGTATTTATACTATCAAAAACAATAAGAATGTCGTTTTGTTGAAAATTACTTAACCTGCATAGACTATACAGAGCACAGACTCCCGCGGTTCCCCTTTGTCAATCTGCACATGCACGAAATTCTTGAATTATGGCAAATCGTAAACATAAACCATCTTTTGTTTGTTTAGCTATTGGCGTTTTCCCCTCACGGCTCTTGGATCACGTGACCGCCCTAGACCAATAACAGAAATCCCCAATTCATCTGATAATTTCAGTCGCACGAAAAGTGTCTAAGCCCGTGGATAGCCTGTGGTCTTGAGCCACATCTAAGCTAATACCGCACAGCGCAAAAATTACTGGTGGTATGGAATAGCTTTTATTAAACAAACTCTGTAACTTGAAAGTAAGTAATGTGGTTGTTCTTGGCTCCCACTGGTCACTGTATTGTTTAATATCAAAATTGATTTTTAATACTTACATTACTGTTGTCAGGTATGGATGGAGATAATGACACAGGACCAATTAAAATCGAACCAAAACAAGAAGAAGAAATCCATTCCTTTCTCCAGAGACACATTTCAGTAAGTAACGAAGTTTTGGTTACGGTCAAGGATGAAGTTACCATTAGTACACTGTGTTCTAAATCTCTTGATAATGAAGCACAGGCACACTCTGACTTTCAACATGACTTTTTACCTCAGTGTAAAACAGAATCTAAAGATTTCAAATGTGCTGATTGTGATTATGAGACAAATAGTAAAATGTACTTTAAACGTCACCTTAGAAAACATGAAGCGAGACATAAAGTTTCTAAGGATTTGAAATGTGCCGATTGTGATTATGAGACAAATTATAAAAGCAACTTCAAACAACATCTTTTAAAACATAAAGTTTCTAAGGATTTTACATGTGCTCATTGTCAGTATGCCACAAATATTAAACACCACTTCAAACGACATCTTTTAAACCATAAGGTTTCTAAGGATTTTCAATGTGTTAATTGCCATTATGGGACAAATGTTAAAGACAACTTCAAACAGCATCTTTTAAAACATAAAGTTTCTAAGGATTTTAAATGTGCTCAGTGTGATTTTGAGACAAACTATAAAGCTGTTCTTAAAAAACACCTTTTAAAACATAATGTTAATACGAATTTGAAATGTGATGATTGTGATTATGAGGCAAATAGTAAAATGTACTTTAAAAGACACCTTAGGAAACATGAAGCGAAACATAAAGTCCCCAAGGATTTTAAATGTGCTAATTGTGATTATGAGACAAACTATAAAGCTACTCTGAAAAAACACCTTTTAAAACATAACATTAGTAAGGATTTGAAATGTGCTGATTGTGATTATGAGACAAATAGTAAAATGTACTTTAAACAACACCTTAGAAAACATCAAGTTTGCAAAGATTTTAAATGTGCTGATTGTAATTATGAGACAAATTATGAAAGTCGCTTGAAACGACATCATTTAAAACATAAAGTTTCCGAAGTTTTTAAATGTGGAGATTGCGATTTTGAGACAAATGTTAAAAGCGTTTTTAAACAACATGTTTTAAAACATAAAGTTTCTAAGGATTTCAAATGTGCTACTTGTGATTATGAGACAAATAAGAAATGCCACATCAAACAACATCTTTTAGTACATCAAGTTTCGAAGGATTTTAAATGTACCGATTGTGATTATGAGACAAAATATAAATCTGCTCTTAAAACACACCTTTTACAACATAACGTTAAGGATTTGAAATGTCCCAATTGTGATTATGAGACAAATAGTAAAATCTACTTTGAACGACACCTTAGAACACATGAAGTGAGACATAAAGTTTTAAAGGAATTTAAATGTGTGGATTGTGATTATGGGACAAATCTTAAAAGTGTTTTCAAACGACATCTTTTAAGACATAAAGTTTCTAAAGATTTAATATGTGGTAATTGTAACTATAAGACTAATTTTAAATCCAATCTTAAACAACACCTTTTAACACATAGGGTTTCTAAGCTATTTAAATGTGCCACTTGTGGTTATGGGGCAAATCGTAAACACCTCTTCAATCAACATCTTTTAACACATAAAGTTTCTATGGAGTTAAAATGTGCTGATTGTGATTATGAGACAAATGTAAAACGCAACTTGAAAGCTCATCTTTTAAAACATAAAGTTTCTAAAAATTTTAAATGTGGTAATTGTAACTATGAGACCAATTTTAAACCCAATTTTAAAAAACACCTTGCAAAACATACCGTTTCTAAACTATTTAAATGTGCTACTTGTGCTTATGGAACAAATCGTAAACAACACCTCAAACAACATCTTTTAACACATACAGTTTCTAAGGAGTTAAAGTGTGCTGATTGTGATTATGAGACAAATGTGAAATGCTACTTCAAATCCCATCTTCTAAAACATAAAGCTTCTAAAGTTTTTAAATGCGGTAATTGTAACTATGAGTCTAATTTTAAATCCAATCTTAAAATACACCTTTTAAAACATAAAATTTAGACGGATTTTAAATGTAGTAGTTGATTATGGGACAATTAATAAACTCATCTTTTAATACATTATTATAATTAATGTGGCGAGGACTGCGTGGCACTGGGGGTGCAGTGTCGATAATGATACCCCTCCGAGGGGCCTCAATCAAGGTGCATCATTCAAAATCATCTATTGTGGTCGACTTAAAAGAATTTGGAATCTTATGGTACATTTTAGGCCCTAGAACCATAAAAAATAATTGTGTTTCTACTTTTACATAAATGAAGGTATTTTAAATTAATTGTCGGTACCTATTTTTGGTACATGTATTGTAGGTGTGAATCACTGTGTGTTGAATAGGAATTAAAATTGCTTTTAATATAAATTAGTGCATAGAAAATATACAAACGGACATGTCAATAGTTTAAATGTCTTGAGTTTTTGTGTTGTTTATCTTATTCCTATTTGTCCATTTGGTGGAAATTGTGAAAATTCCATTTTGGCGAGTAGATTATTAATCACTGTACTTCTAGCGGTCTAGCCTCTTTATAGTGGTTTTGTCTGCATACAGAATTGGAAAGTCATTAGGTATGTGTGGTGGATCATTTATATAAATTAAAAACAGAAATTCCTGTGCAACTCTCCAAAAGGTTAACGGTATCAAACACATGATAATGAATTGAGGTTAATAATCAAGTTAACTTTATAAACAAAGATTGAAACTGTGCGATAAAAAAGGTAAAATAAAAAGCACTTGTAGCAAATCGTAATACCTTTGAAACATTTACATTTAATGCAATATCTCCTTTTTTCGACTTCTGCCACTTTGAATTTTCAAAGGAATAATGCGTTTTGCTACAAGTACTTTTTATTTTAACTTTTTTATCACTTTTCGATTGTAAATGTATTGGGTTGATAGAGCGACGCTTGGCTGAGACCCCGCCTACTCAAAAATAAAATATACAGGGTGTCGCATTTAAAAACAAAAAGTTGAGGTTATTTCCTGCTAAACCTGAAGACGGAAAATGACAATTATTAAAAACTTTGATTTATAAATAAGTAGAGAGATAGTAGACCGTTCTGCGAAAATTTACTCATCCTGTACATAAGGGTGACATATATATATAATTTTCCTGTTAGGAACATCCTGAGTATTCTTGCTCTGAGGGAAAATCACTTCGATCTCAATCTCATTAATTGATTTCATAATTAACAAAAATTCCAAATTTGTAGATGGTTGTTCTTTATGTCCCACAGCCTTTCTGGTGCGTGTATCGTTTGTAGCTTTTTACACAAGCAAGTGGATGAAATCTGTCTTGGTGGTTATTTCGCCCCTTTCCGGCGCCAATGCACTATACTGTATATCGACAGCTACTCGAAGTGGATTTCAAAACTTGTAAGTTGTAATGACATCCTTATCTCAGGTTGGCCCAATTACAGCTTTATAATTCCAAAAATAAATCGATGTTACCTGTAGATCAAAGTACAATCAGTCTAGATACTGTGGTACTTTGTCAAGGTCAATTTTTATTAATTCAAAGTGATTATTTTCATTTAATCTTTTCAGGCAAGAATGATAGACAAATTAGTAAAGTAATTATATTTATTGATTACAGAGTAAGCACTACCACAAACAAATTTCATATACTTCCCAATCGTTTAGAATGACTTTAAATTTTCAAATTTGATTATTCAAGACTACAGATTTTCTACAAAAGAAATTCAAGTCCAGACCTATTGCTTTAAGGAATGCTCTCGAAAGTTAACTGGCTAAAGTGTTCCTATTGTTTCACAACATAACCTATTCTAGAAGGTACTTATTATTTTCATTATTATTGATTGTACTTACACCTATTGACTAGCTATATTTCGATGAATAAACTCTTTAACATCCTGTAACTCGTCGTCCGACGAAGTATGCATTAAGCCACGATACGATTTAAATTCGGGGCCCTTCACGAGATTCTTTAATAACGAAGCTGTCATTTGGCCCCACTTGTAGGGAACTACTGGATCACAGTCGCCGTGGCATTGAAGCACAGGTAAATCGTTGGGACACTTTTGGGCGGCCGGAAAGTTTTTGCGTAAGGGCAACCAGCAGGATAGAGCGACGACGCCCGCCAGTTTTTCAGGGTAGGTTAAGGCCGAGTATAAAGCTAACGCACCTCCCTGCGAGAAACCGCCTAGTACGATTCTGTTCGGTGGTATTCCACTTTTTACTTCCGATTCTATCATGGAATGAATGTTTTGCGACGCTTGTAAAATACCTGAAACTATAAATTACGTTATTGGCGATTGCGAGGACGCGGACCTTCGTCGTCTTCGGCGCTCCCAACGTCGAGAGCTTTCAAGTCGAACCAGCTGGGCATGCGAAAACCGGCATTTAGAGTGACGGGCATCGTAGGTGCTGTCGGGCAAATCACCTTGACACTCTGAGGCCGTATGCCGGCAATTGCACTTGCCCATCCATGCCTGTAAAAAGATTACCTGACTGTGTGTTACACATAACCAACTGCACGTACCCAGTGTCGCCTAAGCCGTGAAGAAATATAAGCTAAAATCAATTGGCAATTAGAAACCCATTTTTTACATTATTTGTATGTTAAATCAGTTAACGTTACTCGTTTCGAAATTCCTGCCTCAGCTGTAAACATCTCACTCGTTAACGTAAATTTACCATACTCATATGTAAATAACTATTACTTCTGTCCATTAAAAAATGTATTTATACTATCAAAAACAATAAGAATGTGAGAATGTCGTTTTGTTGAAAATTACTTAACCTGCATAGACTATACAGAGCACAGACTCCCGCGGTTCCCCTTTGTCAATACTGCGCATGCACGAAATTCTTGAATTATGGCAAATAGTAAACATAAACCATCTTTTGTTTGTTTAGCTATTGGCGTTTCCCCTCACGGCTCTTGGATCACGTGACCGCCCTAGACCAATAACAGAAATCCAATTCATCTAATAATCTCAGTCGCACGGAAAGTGTCTAAGCCCGTGGATAGCATGTGGTCTTCTAATACCGCACAGCGCAAAAATTACTGGTGGTGTGGAATAGCTTTTATTAAACAAACTCTGTAACTTAGAAAGTAAGTAATGTCTGGTTGTTCTGGGCTCTCACTGGTCACTGTATTGTTTAATACTTACATTACTGTTGTCAGGTATGGATGGAGATAATGACACAACACCAATTAAAATCGAACCAAAACAAGAAGAAGAAATCCATTCCTTTCTCCAGAGACACATTTCAGTAAGTAACGAAGTTTTGGTTACGGTCAAGGATGAAGTTACCATTAGTACACTGTGTTCTAAATCTCTTGATAATGAAGCACAGGCACACTCTGACTTTCAACATGACTTTTTACCTCAGTGTAAAACAGAATCTAAAGATTTCAAATGTGCTGATTGTGATTATGAGACAAATAGTAAAATGTACTTTAAACGTCACCTTAGAAAACATGAAGCGAGACATAAAGTTTCTAAGGATTTGAAATGTGCCGATTGTGATTATGAGACAAATTATAAAAGCAACTTCAAACAACATCTTTTAAAACATAAAGTTTCTAAGGATTTTACATGTGCTCATTGTCAGTATGGCACAAATATTAAACACCACTTCAAACGACATCTTTTAAAACATAAAGTTTCTAAGGATTTTACATGTGCTCATTGTCAGTATGGCACAAATATTAAACACCACTTCAAACGACATCTTTTAAACCATAAGGTTTCTAAGGATTTTCAATGTGTTAATTGCCATTATGGGACAAATGTTAAAGACAACTTCAAACAGCATCTTTTAAAACATAAAGTTTCTAAGGATTTTAAATGTGCTCAGTGTGATTTTGAGACAAACTATAAAGCTGTTCTTAAAAAACACCTTTTAAAACATAATGTTAATACGAATTTGAAATGTGATGATTGTGATTATGAGGCAAATAGTAAAATGTACTTTAAAAGACACCTTAGGAAACATGAAGCGAAACATAAAGTCCCCAAGGATTTTAAATGTGCTAATTGTGATTATGAGACAAACTATAAAGCTACTCTGAAAAAACACCTTTTAAAACATAACATTAGTAAGGATTTGAAATGTGCTGATTGTGATTATGAGACAAATACTAAAATGTACTTTAAACAACACCTTAGAAAACATCAAGTTTGCAAAGATTTTAAATGTGCTGATTGTAATTATGAGACAAATTATGAAAGTCGCTGGAAACGACATCATTTAAAACATAAAGTTTCCGAAGTTTTTAAATGTGGTGATTGCGATTTTGAGACAAATGTTAAAAGCATCTTTAAACAGCATGTTTTAAAACATAAAGTTTCTAAGGATTTCAAATGTGCTACTTGTGATTATGAGACAAATAAGAAATGCCACATCAAACAACATCTTTTAGTACATCAAGTTTCGAAGGATTTTAAATGTACCGATTGTGATTATGAGACAAAATATAAATCTGCTCTTAAAACACACCTTTTACAACATATCGTTAAGGATTTGAAATGTCCCAATTGTGATTATGAGACAAATAGTAAAATCTACTTTGAACGACACCTTAGAACACATGAAGTGAGACATAAAGTTTTAAAGGAATTTAAATGTGTGGATTGTGATTATGGGACAAATCTTAAAAGTGTTTTCAAACGACATCTTTTAAGACATAAAGTTTCTAAAAATTTAATATGTGGTAATTGTAACTATAAGACTAATTTTAAATCCAATCTTAAACAACACCTTTTAACACATAGGGTTTCTAAGCTATTTAAATGTGCCACTTGTGCTTATGGAACAAATCGTAAACAACACCTCAAACAACATCTTTTAACACATACAGTTTCTAAGGAGTTAAAGTGTGCCGATTGTGATTATGAGACAAATGTGAAATGCTACTTCAAATCCCATCTTCTAAAACATAAAGCTTCTAAAGTTTTTAAATGCGGTAATTGTAACTATGAGTCTAATTTTAAATCCAATCTTAAAATACACCTTTTAAAACATAAAATTTAGACGGATTTTAAATGTAGTAGTTGATTATGGGACAATTAATAAACTCATCTTTTAATACATTATTATAATTAATGTGGCGAGGACTGCGTGGCACTGGGGGTGCAGTGTCGATAATGATACCCCTCCGAGGGGCCTCAATCAAGGTGCATCATTCAAAATCATCTATTGTGGTCGACTTAAAAGAATTTGGAATCTTATGGTACATTTTAGGCCCTAGAACCATAAAAAATAATTGTGTTTCTACTTTTACATAAATGAAGGTATTTTAAATTAATTGTCGGTACCTATTTTTGGTACATGTATTGTAGGTGTGAATCACTGTGTGTTGAATAGGAATTAAAATTGCTTTTAATATAAATTAGTGCATAGAAAATATACAAACGGACATGTCAATAGTTTAAATGTCTTGAGTTTTTGTGTTGTTTATCTTATTCCTATTTGTCCATTTGGTGGAAATTGTGAAAATTCCATTTTGGCGAGTAGATTATTAATCACTGTACTTCTAGCGGTCTAGCCTCTTTATAGTGGTTTTGTCTGCATACAGAATTGGAAAGTCATTAGGTATGTGTGGTGGATCATTTATATAAATTAAAAACAGAAATTCCTGTGCAACTCTCCAAAAGGTTAACGGTATCAAACACATGATAATGAATTGAGGTTAATAATCAAGTTAACTTTATAAACAAAGATTGAAACTGTGCGATAAAAAAGGTAAAATAAAAAGCACTTGTAGCAAATCGTAATACCTTTGAAACATTTACATTTAATGCAATATCTCCTTTTTTCGACTTCTGCCACTTTGAATTTTCAAAGGAATAATGCGTTTTGCTACAAGTACTTTTTATTTTAACTTTTTTATCACTTTTCGATTGTAAATGTATTGGGTTGATAGAGCGACGCTTGGCTGAGACCCCGCCTACTCAAAAATAAAATATACAGGGTGTCGCATTTAAAAACAAAAAGTTGAGGTTATTTTTGTTTTGTTTTTATGTATAACGGCATCGAGTGCGGACGTGTTTTCAGCGCTCTGTGTTTAGTTTAATTATAAAATCTAAAAAAAAACCAACGATCATGTCTGAAGTGTGTCAAAAGTGTACATTTAATATTACGTCCACTCAGCAAAAAATTAAATGTGTAAGGTGTTCGAAGAGATATCATATCAATTGCATGAACCCAACAATCGGGGAATTGCAATATTTGAAAGATAACAAAGAGAAATGGCAATGTCTTACATGCATCGAATCTAATACGAAATTACGAAACACTGGCAGCTCATCATATTATGTTCCAGATGAGATCCCAGCATCTGTGGATGTGGATCCTAATGACGGTCAACTAAATACGTCAACTGCACTTGCACACATCATAGGTCAACTGAAAACTGTTTTAGAAGTACAATCAGAAACAACTACGTCGATCAATTTATGTCACGAAAAAATTGATGAGTTGAACAACAACTTCAAAAAACTAAGCGATGCGGTGACAGCCTGTGAAAAAAATATTGAAGCTTTAGAAACTAAGAACGTAATTCTTCAAAGGGAAAACAGTGAGATTAAAGAAAAATTAAATGAGTTGGAACAGTACACCCGGAAAAATATCTTTGAAGTATATGGCGTGCCGGAATCCCCAGGAGAAAATATTGCCGTTGTTGTCCAAGCAGTGGCCAATTCGATAGGGTTTAAATTGGAAAGATGGATGATCGATACTACTCATCGGTTGCGAAAAAACGCAAATCGTCCGGATCAAGCCAGGGGAATCATTATTAAGTTCGTACGCAGATTAGATAAAGAAGAGTTCATGAGGTTAAAGCGAGTTAAACGTGAACTTAAAGTAAGTGATTTAGGTTCCGATTTTCGTAATTTAATAAAGCAAGACAATTACATCTATGTGAACGATTCGCTCACGGTTACCAACAAGATATTGTTAAATAAGGCGCGTGAGTTTAAAAAACAAAACAACGTAAAATATTTGTGGATACGGAATGGCAAAATATTTATGCGTGTCAATGAGCAGAGCCGCGTTTATGAAATAAAATCAAGTAATGATCTTCGGGATGTCCACTGATCGAGTTTCGGTGATGGTTTATCACACTATAGTGTTTTTTTTGTTGTTTTTCAAAACATTACGGAGAAAATGCTCTTATTTTATTGTCTTTAAATTTTTGTTTGACTTTTATACATCACAAAGCCAATAGTAGTTTAGTTACGTGCGTTCGTTGGAAATTTGTGAATTTATCTGCAGCTGCTTTCTTCAAAGTTATCGCCGAACATTCCTACATAAACAATAGCCCCACTGTTAGTTTTAGCATGATGTGTTTATCAATAAGGTTTGCTTCTTTAAACCAAAAATGACTGCTTTTCTGGGAAATAACTTGTGTTACATATTTTTCTGTGTCTTTAAAATTAAATTTACTTGTAATTATGCTTTACAAAATTCGGTTTGGATATTACCAAAATTTAAAAAAAAAACTGTATTTTTATATGGTCATTTATTAATTCCTTTTTTGTTTACAGATGTTAGATGAGTAGGAATATTTTAGGAATTGCACACTTAAATGCCCAATCTCTTCGTAATAATTTTTCAGAATTCAAGGATCTCGCATTTGAGTGCAACTTTGACATAATAGGAATAACAGAAACGTGGTTATCGCCCGAAGTACCTAGTGATGCAGTTCACATAAATGGGTATAAGTTTATTCATTGAATATAGTGTTTTTATTCAATGGTTTATTCGAAAGGATCGCGTAGCGAGAGGTGGAGGCGTAGGTATATATGTTAAAAGTGAATTTGTTTTTTCAATTTTAGAGCAATCCGAATCGCACTCAGCCAGTGAACAGTTATGGATCTTATTAAAAATAAATAGAATCCAATTAGCTCTTGGAATTCTATATAGGCGACAGGAATTTGGATGTGATGTGTTTCTCAGTGAATTGGAAAATTCGGTTGTATCTGTATTACCTATTACTGATGAAATAGTGTGCTTGGGTGATTTTAATATAAATATGCTCAATTTAAATAATCGTGATACATTAAAGTATACAACTATGATAGACTTCTTCAGTTTAAAACAAATCATCCAAGAACCTACACGCGTCACTCGTACAACGTCTACTTTAATAGACCACATTTTGGTTAGTGAAGGTAAGGTAATCATTGAGTGTGGTGTAATTGGTTCGCATGGTTTGTCTGATCATTGTTTAATATATTGTCAGTACCCACTTCACAGTAACGTGGAAATGAAAAGCCATTTACATACTTACCGGGACTTTAATCGCTTCAACCAAAAAACCTTTGATGCTGACTTGCAAGCTATTCCATGGCATCTAATGATTCATTTACGTGATGTAAACGATAAAATTCACTTTTTAAATGCTAATCTTACAGAGTTGTTCAATATTCATGCTCCCATTAGAACTATTAAAATTGTTAAAAAAAATCCTCCCTGGATGACTGATAATATCAAATTTATGATTAAACTACGAAATAAGTCCCTTGTCAAGTTTAAACGAACGCTTAAGGATACTGATTGGAATTATTACAAACAGTTACGGAATTACACTACCTTTGCAGTTAAACAGGAGAAAAAAGCATATATTGAATTTAGACTCAATCAAAATAAACATAAAACGTTATGGCAAGATTTAAATAGGACTAACATATATACAAAAGCAGAGTCTCATGAAGTACCTATTCATCTTAGTGATCCTAACAAAATTAATGAGGCATTTGTAAATTCAAGTAAATCTTTGTCTACCGTTAATTTCAACAACCTTATTCGATTCTATTGCGAAGATTTTCCACAAAAGTTTGGGACAAATTTTCAATTTTCATTAACTGATGGCCAAGCAATATTAAAAATCTTATCAAATATCAAAAGTAATGCGGTTGGAACTGATGAACTGAGTATAAAAATGTTACGACTTTGCTGTCCCTTTATTGTTCCTTACGTGACACATATTATCAATTCCTGCATAATCGATTCGATCTTTCCAGACTCCTGGAAAACCGCAAAGGTTATTCCTGTACCTAAATCAAATGCACCAACTGACTATAAGGACTTAAGACCAATTAGTATCCTTCCATGTTTATCAAAAGTTTTCGAAAAAATTATGATGACTCAAATGCAAAGCTATATGCAATCCATTGATATTATCCCCGAGACACAATCGGGATTTTGATCGGGTTTTAGTTGTGAAACTTCTCTTTTAAATATAACTGATGATATATTGAGCAGTGCTGATAGTGATGAACTGTCCGTGTTGATTATGCTTGACTACTCGAAGGCGTTTGACACCATAAGACATGATGTTATGGTGTCAATCCTGAGATGTATTGGTTTCGACGAGTCTGCTACTTCTTTAATTGAAAATTACCTTACTAATCGCAGCCAGATAGTGAAAATAAAAGACTCTCAATCTATCTCTTTACCAATTATCAATGGAGTACCTCAAGGTTCAATTCTTGGTCCCCTGTTTTACGTTATATATACCTTTAATTTAAAATCTTCTCTAAAATTTTGTAAATATCATTTATATGCTGATGACACTCAGTTGCATTACAGTTTCAAGCCTATAGATTTGCCTGTTGCCTTGGTTCATATTAACACTGATCTTAACAGTCTAGTGGATTACTCAGAGGCTCATGGGTTACAAATTAACATATCTAAATGCTACCTTATGCTATTAGGCAAACGGAAGACAAGAGAAAAGTATATATCTCAAATAAATATTATGATAAGGGATACTCCATTGGGTGTTAAGAGCAGTGTTAAGAACCTAGGGCTTATTATAGATGATGAACTTAGGTTTCGACAGCATATATCTAAAAATGTGCAAAAGGCATTTATTAATCTAAAACAAATTTATCAAAATCGGTCTTGCTTAACTAAAAAAGTAAAAATAATACTCTGCGAGTCGCTTGTCCTATCTCATTTTAATTATTGTGATTGTGTGTACGGTCCTTGTTTAACTTCCGTCGACTGCAGACGAATACAACGCATCCAAAACTCGTGTCTAAGGTTAATATTTGGTATTCGAAAATTTAATTCTATTGGTGGCAAACTGAATGAAATAGGATGGCTGAATATGACAAATAGAAGAATGCTGCATTCGGCTTGCTTATATCATAAAGTCATTACTCGCCAAACACCACAGTATCTTTTCAATAAGCTTCGATTTCGGCATAACATACGTGATTTTTTCTTGAGACATAAAAATTTAGTTATAACACCGCTTCATAAAACCTCCTTGTATGAAAGATCATTTAGTTATAACGCGTCTAAAGTTTATAATTCAATACCTCCTGAAATTAAAGAACTTCCTATACAACATTTCAAAATTCAACTACATAAACTATATCTACTTAATCAATACACCTCTTAAATAAAAATTAATCTTGATAAGCTTCTGTTTTTATTATAATTTATTTGTCCCGTTAAAAATATTATTTTTCACTCGTAATGCCATAATTAATGTTATTTAGTAATCAAACTGGGTTGAGTGGAAGACCAAGCTGCTACTTAGTAGTTGCTTGAACTCACTCCATTTGGGAACAACAAGTGAGGCAGTTCTTAAGTACTCTGTTCTCTTCGAACATCATGTATGATTTTATTTTTCTTTATTTTTATCTTGAACATTGAACATTATATTAAGTTGTTTTCAATAAATGCATTATTATATTATTATTATTATTTCCTAAAAACTTTGATTTATAAATAAGTAGAGAGATAGTAGACCGTTCTGCGAAAATTTACTCATCCTGTACATAAGGGTGACATATATATATAATTTTCCTGTTAGGAACATCCTGAGTATTCTTGCTCTGAGGGAAAATCACTTCGATCTCAATCTCATTAATTGATTTCATAATTAACAAAAATTCCAAATTTGTAGATGGTTGTTCTTTATGTCCCACAGCCTTTCTGGTGCGTGTATCGTTTGTAGCTTTTTACACAAGCAAGTGGATGAAATCTGTCTTGGTGGTTATTTCGCCCCTTTCCGGCGCCAATGCACTATACTGTATATCGACAGCTACTCGAAGTGGATTTCAAAACTTGTAAGTTGTAATGACATCCTTATCTCAGGTTGGCCCAATTACAGCTTTATAATTCCAAAAATAAATCGATGTTATCTGTAGATCAAAGTACAATCAGTCTAGATACTGTGGTACTTTGTCAAGGTCAATTTTTATTAATTCAAAGTGATTATTTTCATTTAATCTTTTCAGGCAAGAATGATAGACAAATTAGTAAAGTAATTATATTTATTGATTACAGAGTAAGCACTACCACAAACAAATTTCATATACTTCCCAATCGTTTAGAATGACTTTAAATTTTCAAATTTGATTATTCAAGACTACAGATTTTCTACAAAAGAAATTCAAGTCCAGACCTATTGCTTTAAGGAATGCTCTCGAAAGTTAACTGGCTAAAGTGTTCCTATTGTTTCACAACATAACCTATTCTAGAAGGTACTTATTATTTTCATTATTATTGATTGTACTTACACCTATTGACTAGCTATATTTCGATGAATAAACTCTTTAACATCCTGTAACTCGTCGTCCGACGAAGTATGCATTAAGCCACGATACGATTTAAATTCGGGGCCCTTCACGAGATTCTTTAATAACGAAGCTGTCATTTGGCCCCACTTGTAGGGAACTACTGGATCACAGTCGCCGTGGCATTGAAGCACAGGTAAATCGTTGGGACACTTTTGGGCGGCCGGAAAGTTTTTGCGTAAGGGCAACCAGCAGGATAGAGCGACGACGCCCGCCAGTTTTTCAGGGTAGGTTAAGGCCGAGTATAAAGCTAACGCACCTCCCTGCGAGAAACCGCCTAGTACGATTCTGTTCGGTGGTATTCCACTTTTTACTTCCGATTCTATCATGGAATGAATGTTTTGCGACGCTTGTAAAATACCTGAAACTATAAATTACGTTATTGGCGATTGCGAGGACGCGGACCTTCGTCGTCTTCGGCGCTCCCAACGTCGAGAGCTTTCAAGTCGAACCAGCTGGGCATGCGAAAACCGGCATTTAGAGTGACGGGCATCGTAGGTGCTGTCGGGCAAATCACCTTGACACTCTGAGGCCGTATGCCGGCAATTGCACTTGCCCATCCATGTCTGTAAAAAGATTACCTGACTGTGTGTTACACATAACCAACTGCACGTACCCAGTGTCGCCTAAGCCGTGAAGAAATATAAGCTAAAATCAATTGGCAATTAGAAACCCATTGCATTCAAATGTGAAACTTACAGTTCCAGTTTGATTTCCACTTGCTGCAATTACTACCGGTGCTGCCATGTCTAAAATTTGTACAGAAGCCTTATCAGTAGATTATTTGGGAATTAAATTAGCTTAAAATGCATCAATATTTACATTTGCAAACTAATGAACACTTAACAGCAAAATGAGTAATTTAATTATCACACAAATAACCAAAGGAGTCACCTGAAGTTGCCGCTAAACTACGAATGGTAGTTAAAACATTTCCCATTATCACTGCGAAATTCCCTAGAAACTGTTTTCGCATTTTACTTTCCTCCGCTGAAAACCGCAATTTTTCAAATTGAGACTGAAAACTCGAACAGCGATTTGGCGAGAGACATCTTGTAGACGATTTTCTCCCTCTATATTACACAACTTTCTAAAAATGATAATGTTAACGACCTCCCTGGCGAAATTCAACAGCCGTGATGCGGTGGTCTAATTTTTTAGTTTTATCTTAGTAGACAGTGCCGTAGCTGAGGCAACCCCTACTTGAGAATAGCAAACTTATGATATGGTTTTTATTCAGGTCGCAACGGTTTTCTTATTTTCATAAAGAAAGAATTACACGTAATCGACACAAAGGTTTCCCGATAGTCAGGGGTGGATGCCTACCCCCTAACTCGAATAAATGCGTTTTCGTGTGGTACATAAGAGGCGCTTTCTTTCGGCTACTTCGAAATCATGATTTTGAGATCGTGATTCGTATGATCACGTTTTACGAAAGAACGCGCGAATTTAAATCAAAGTATGGTTAAGTTTACGTAGTGCACATTTACGTTTGAATTACGTACTTTTTGTTTGGATTATGAAAATAATTTAAATACAAGTGGATGTACTTGCACGATTATGCTCCTCTTCAGTTACAAATATTGACTAATCTAACATTTGAGCAAAAATATCCTTGCATTTATAGGTTAGGAATTCATGTCATAAAACTTTTATGTTCAGTTTGTTCACGATTTTAGCAATCAATTATCATAAGATCACACTTGGAAAGAACATGATTTGACAATCCAAACGCGTTTGGATCATATATATATATGGGCGTCGATTCCCGAAGATGTGCTTTGTTCACATCGACTGACCTTGATGTGAACGTGAATGTCACTGCATTCTCGAACCTACCACATCGAGCGAAAAGTTGATCGAACGCAACGACTGGTCTAGACTACTCGTTGCGTGAAAGTCATGCGCAGTTCCAGCTACAGGACGGATCTTGCAGCTGTTTTGCTAAAGAGGTTATTCAGTGCCCTAACCTATAAATTCACATATTTTCTGTGAAATAAAACATGGAATTGTTCGAGGATTTTCTGGTTATTAATAACAGTATCCTTAATGCAAAAACGAAACAAAATACAAAACTGACAAATGACAGTTCAATTCTTGTCTGTGATTGGTTAGCGCATACAGTTTGTTCGCGATTCGGGAATGCAGCTAAACTTGAACTTATCCCTATCGTATACGATCATGACGTCATGGCAGCCGGTCACATCACATGCACATCACGGAGCATATCGACTAACTTCGGGAATCGATACCATGGTTTGGATCATCGAAAGAAAGCGCCTAAGATATCACACGTCTATGGTGTATGCGAAAATGATATACAGGATCTTACAAAAATAAACGGAACTATTAAGCTGAAATTATGATAAATGACTCCACGGGCAGCATCTGAACACATACCTCGTCGAATTATGGACTGCCCTGCGGGCTCAAAAATTCCTGGCGTGTCCCGAATTTGCAGGTCTTTTTTTAGCATAACTTCGTAGAAGTTTTGTTATCAGCTAATCCTCAAAGATACTTAGCCAGACATGCCACATTTTGTAACTTGCGGGGCCGTTTGGTCTCCGATGTAACGCAATTGTGCCGAGCTAAAGTGAGTCGGTACTTTCCGAAATCGATCTCATTAAGCGGAATTGGTTTCTACAAGCATCTACGCGATTTTATTGCACAAAAGATGAGTCACATCCTGTGTATTTCACCCTTTCTCAGAATCTTGGTACCTGCTTGGCTGGTATATATGTTACTTCTCGAAGCCTACACACATGATGGCAGCTGCATGGGTGATTAACCGAATAGGACCGTCTCCAAAACCACCAGGGATTTCGCCATACGAACTTTGGTACAAGAAGAAGTCTGATCAGGCATCTTAAAGTATTCGGTACTGTATACTTTGTACACGTACCAAACGAGAAGAGGAGGAAATTTGACAAGAAAGCTCGTTGAGGTTATCTGGTTGGGTACTGTGGGTACAAGGACGGTTATCGCGTATGGATTCCTATCTGTTAATTAAGAATTTAACAGAAAATCAATAATTATTTCACTAGAAGAGCAGTTGCGTTGGTCTTTCATTCTGTTTATATGTTCGGTTTTATTCAAAGATATCTTCGTATTTTTTATTAGATCGGAGATAAGTAGTCGTTTTTTGCTTGAGCATCCTGTATGTACGTCTTATCAATGTGATTTTTATAGGTTATGTTTTAAAACAAAAAACAATAAGGTTATGTGATTTGTGGTTATGTTTATATTTAAAAGTAAACTATTACGAGGAGACATGTGTCTGGTATTGGTTTGAATTTGAATTTAAAGGAAATGGACGAAGAAAAGCACTTCGATTTTGCCCTCGGAGGAGAGCGAAAGCTTCCTCCGCGGGTGGACATACTCAATTTTTGTACGAGTCGGTTGGACGAAATTAAATCGATGCGACAAGCGTTAAAAACTACAACCGCCGCGAAATTGGTCTTCCAACAATTGCCGAAGCACATGCGTCGGAGGGTGATGGCTCACAATACCAAACGGTTGCCGAGACGCTTGCGACAGAGACATCTGAGTCAACTTCAGAAGGCCGGAATGCCAGTTCGTCAAAAGAGACCATCTCGAAAGTATCGACGGAGACCTCACAATTTGTTGGCGGAGTATGCCAACAGGCAGAGGCGAATCAGGTGGTTGGAGACGCACATATGGCACGCAAAGCGATTTCACATGGTGGAACGGTGGGGCTGCAAACTGGCATACAGACCATGTGATAAGGCATTTCGAGCTTGCTATAGGGCAACGGCGAAGCACTGCTTAGTGCAAGATATTTCGTATTTCACCTGTATAGAAGTTAAAGGTCCTAGTGCTGTACTGATTGCTAAATTAAAAGACATCTCTCTGTTAAGTAACGGCTTGAGTGTTGGTGCAAAAGCTTACCTCAACGGTAATCGAGAGGGCAGTGTAGTTTTGTGCGATCAAGGTACACTTTTGGGAACTGTATATTTCCATTGGAAACCCCTGGAGAATGATGAGCAGGTCGAGCGAATCATTTGGATTTGGGTGCATGCCGCTTATTATCCTGATACACTCTGTTTATTAACGAAATGCTTCGATTTAAAAGAAACCGGCAAGGACACGCTCGTTTACACCAACTCTAATTCACAGATACAGTTGAGCGAGCTGAAAAATAGCTTAAATAGATTTAAATTAACGGGACCTTTATCTTGCGCCGTCCTGACTCGTTGCTTGAGACCTGTGAAAGAATTTGGCCCTAAATGGATGCAAAAATCAGGCAACTCGGAGGAAACTTTGTTACAATACGAATTTTGGGAAAAGCTGCAAAGCTCGGTAACGGCAGCTGAACTGCCGTCTCGTCACATTCTGTGTTTGACTGTAGTCGATCCCAGGTATAACATTCCCAAAACGCGATTGAAGGCGGTTCTGCAAACAAATCGGATATCCTTACCGTTAAGTGTACCACCGAAACTAGCCTGCGGACCTATTTGGGATGATCAGGTGCGTTCGTATGTCAAAGAGAATAAGGTGTCAAATGCGAAACTCGATGAACTGAGATCGGAGCTGTTGGTGCCTGGTACTGAGTTGAGAAATGGGGAGGCCGTACCTGTGATGCTAGTGCAAAATCCGGGGAATAAAACGGATAATTTAGGTAATGTAACTCTGATGGTTGTGTACATTTTTTTGAAGTTTGCATTTACCAATCGTTCGGATCTTTGAATTTATCACAGGAGAGTAGTTGCTATCACTATTACATTATATTGTAAAATTGCATGGTGGATGATTGTTTTACAGGCAATAAACTAAATATTGGGGGCGTCACCGTGATAGGAAAATGAAAATGTTTAAACCTAAAGGTAGACCATTTTGGTAAATGGGATAGGGGCAGGTGGGTATGTTTGGGTCATTTTTTTGAAATACTGGCAACCTCCATATACAGGGTGGTGACTGGCGTAACGCATCATAAGGATTTCAATCTAAAATTCATAACATGCGATTATTGGCTCCCCCTCGGGCTCCCCAAATTATTTTAGAGCAAAAATGTATAAAGGTTTTTTGTAGAAAAAGTTTTTTTACGCCAATTGACCTTATTAGTTTTCAATTTTTTTCACCTAAAGACGGAAAATTGGGAAAATAAAACCCGCATCTTTTTCAATAATCCCTATGATGCGTTACGCAACTCACCACCCTGTACAGGGTCATTCTTGACGAGCGTCAGTTAGAAAGATATGGAAAACCCTCGGGAAAACCTTTGAAAATGAAACTAAACTGATGTCCTTTATGTATGGATTTTGACACATGATGAATTGAACTAAAATATTTTCAAGATGGCGCCACTTTCACAAATACCAGAAGTAGCCATCAACTTTGTTATTTTAAATAAGGTCCCCCTATTTTTTCTACATTTTCGGATTCTACGTCGAATTTGGAGTACAACGACACCCCATAGTTGTCCCTTTGCTCCAAGGGCTTTGTCGATATTCAAGTTTTTATGTCAAAAATTGAATTTGCAAGAGTAATTATAAAAATTTATTATTCGAAAACGGTGAGAGATATTGCGAACAGTTTTCACTTCTTTATTAAGGAAAGATCGAATTTTCTTATGGTATACGTAACCGTCTAAAAAAGTGAGAGTACGTCACTTTTTTAAAGCTCTCAACTTTTAAAATTTTAAATACCCATAACTCCATTTTTTCAAATGGCACCTCTCATTATTTTCTTCACTGTTGTTTTCCTTTTTCAGAGATTTTTAATTTGATACAAAATGTCAAAGGCTGCTTTAAACAGTTTCCGAGATATTCCATGTTTTAGTCACTTCTTGTAGCAAATTGATAAAAAAATTAAGTCGCTTGGTGTTATTCTTTTGTTTTTATTATGATAACGTCTAAACGTCAAATTTTGGCTTCTTGAACAGTTTTGAACTTTTATTTCTCGTCAATAATGGCTCGTTTGGGTTACACTAATGAAGATTTTTTGTATTAATATTAATACGCGGTGAATGTAATCAAATAGGGGCCAGGACTTGCCCTCTTTTTTCCGAAAGATACTCTGATAAGGCGCGACCCACAGAGGCTACAATTCGCAAATGATTACAAAAATTGCAGAAATAACGGTATGTTTCAAACAAAAATACAAAAAAGAAAGCCTGTGGTAGACTCTGAAGAACAAGAAATAACGGTACTGGCTTACTTTGCTGCAAATCCAACTGCATCGCTTAAATGATATTCAAAGAGACTTAATTTTTTTATCAATTTGTTACAAGTAATTAAAACATGGAATATCTTGGAAACCGTTTGAACCAACCTTTGACATTTTGTATCAAATTAAAGGTCTCTGAAAAAGGAACACAACAGTGAAGAAAAAAATTAGGGGTGCCATTTGAAAAAATGGGGTTATGGATATTTAAAAATTTAAAAGTTGAGAGCTTTGAAAAAGTGACGTAGTCTCACTTTTTTATATGGTTACGCCTCGGGTTACGCATACCATAAGAAAATTCAATCTTTCCTTAACAAAGCAGTGAAATAATATATTTCATTACAAGTCCGGAAAGCAGGCTTTTTCTGTGCGCGCGTGACAAAAAGCATTTCTGGACATGTAATGAACGATATTTTTTATTATACTTCTTTTAAATCGATAACAAAAAACAACAAACTCGCCAACATTTTTATTTTGTAACAGTTATAGAAAATGCGTTTTCATGGTTACTCTCAAATCATTTCAAAGGCGATTTGTTTAATTAGTTTATTTCAGATAAGGTTGACGAAACGTCAAAAAATGTCACAAAATCTACAAAGAAGTTTATCTAAATATTCAAACATCTACGAATTAAAACGCAAAATACTTACATATGAAACATTACAACCCATATAGATTTTCTGAAAATTAGTTTACTTCCCTGTAAATTTGTATTTTAAAGCAATATTTTGGGTATTTATATTCAGCGCACGGAAAGAATCAAAGGGACTGGGAATAGTATATTTCATTACCAGTCCAGAAAGGAAGATTTTCCCGTGGGCGCATGACGTTTCCCGTGTGAGGCGAAGCCGAACACGGGAAGTCATGCAAACACGGGAAAAGCCTTTCTGGACGTGTAATGAACGATATTTTTCATTATATCTCTCCGAAAATAACGGAGAATGATTATTTACATTGAAGTCCACATCCAATTTGACAACAAATTCTGTTGCTTGTCTTATCACCCTTAAACCCCCGATTATCTTCAACACATCATCAATAGTCGAGCGAATTGTATCGTCTCCTCTGCATCTTGCTCCAAATTTCCGAATACTAAAATAACCTTAGTAAGTAATAACCATTTTATCTCTGCAGCTTCATTCAAAAATTGCTCCCTTGTTGTACAGAACTTTTGATTTTTTTGGGATGTAGCGGAGGGTCTGACGCTTCAAAAAGTCGATGGTTTTGCACAATTTGCTGGCGTTTTCATTTTCTTTTACCGTAAGAATATTCTTAATCATTGAAAACCTACTCCAAAACGTACTCTTTCCACGATTTTTTCAACGCACCAGTTATGAAATTTTTCATATTTCTTTTCGCATCTCTCTTTTGATTTCGTTGGTAATAGTTGGGAACTGGTTTCTGCAGCTTCTCTTAATATATTAGCGGGAATTTCGACTTCACCAAAATCCATTTTTAACACAACGGAAAAAATCGGTTGACATATATGTCAAAGTCAAGCCGCGGTATGCATGGCAACGCATGGGATAGGGATGCTATGGCAAACTTGATTATTCGTAGCGCACGGGAAAAAGTTTTCCAGTGCGCTCGCACGGGAAAACCCTACTTTCGGTGCGCTTGGGATACATGAAAAGACAGTACTTTCGGAGAGGTATAATGAAAAAGTTTTTCCGTGCGCTAGCCTGGAAAAGGCCAGATACCATTATTTCTAATACAGGTGTAAATAAGGTGATTTCAATGAAGTATAATAAAAACTGTTTTGCAATATCTCTCACCGTTTTCGAATAATAATTTTTTAAAATTACCCCCGCAAATTCAATTTTTGACATAAAAACTGGAATATCTACGAAGCCCTTAGAGCAAAGGGTATCGTTGTACTCCAAATTCGACGTAGAATCCGAAAATGTAGAAAAAATAGGGGGCCCCTATTTAAAATAACAAAGTTGATGGTTACTTCTGGCATTTGCGAAAGTGGCGCCATCTTGAAAATATTTTAGTTTCATTTTCAAAGGTTCTCCATATCTTTCTATCTGACGCTCGTCCGACGCTCGTCAAGAATGACCCTGTATAGATTGGTAAAGTATCGTTTTCATCATGAAAGAAGCCTGTTGTTGTAAGCTACCTTAATGCTAGCATGATAACGCGGAATCTAAAGGATGAATTGCATAAATTTTTGTAGGCGTAGGGATTCCTTGTTGGTTGGAAACGACACCTATTAATTTTCATAGCAGTGGCCCAGATTCTTCTGCGCATGCGCAGAGATTACTTTGTTATTTATGGACCGATCTCGTTGACATTTTAATAAAGGCCAGTCGATCTTTTACTTATAATTATTAAGTAAGTGAAAAGCTGCGTGTTAAGTAGTACCCAGCAGTATTGAGCAGTGCTTGGCAGAACTGAAGACAGTACCATCATTGCTTGCTACCACTGATCAATTCTTTATGTTCATTGCGAGGTTCATTGTTTTTAGTGTTAACTCGTGTAATACTGTTAAGCCTTTGGTATTTCATTTAGGGTCGCACCTCAGGTCGAACTGAGGTGAAAAATTCATGATGGCGGCGAACTAGGAGGTCCAAGTGTACTATAAATATAAATTAAAAAACAGTTTTGATTTTGAAACCATGTTTTTTTTTAATATTTAAAACTATATATAATAGGAATTCAAACGTGGACCGGCATCGGCGGTACGCAAAATAGCAGAGTGCGACATCAAGGAAAAAAAAAGTGAAAAAAATCGTATAATCCCATCGGGTCCAATGGACAAGTTTCATGATCTTGATACTACATTTAACCTAATGAGTTATGATATTAAAATATAGATCGAAACTAATAAACTAATCAAAAAGTCTTAAAATCGGTCAATAAATATTTAAGTTTAAGTATTCGGTGTTCAACACAGCAGTGGTCTGTACTGCCTGTCCCGCCATTTGACCTAATTGAGTGCGTCCGTTACCGTGACACCAATAACCAAGCGTACACGTACTAACCGAACGAATAGATATCGTATGCGAATAGGTCAAGTGACGTCACACGCTGAAACGAAATTATTTTTCTAAGTTCAACTTTAAAATCTTTGGAACTTTTTCATTTGTGGAGGTATTTTAATTCTATCGCATTTTTGTTTCATTTAAAAAAAACTTGAAACGTCACCATTGCCATTTAAAAAAACTACCACTTTTTGACGATTTAGGCGATTTCGAACATAAAATGCGAATAACTCTTTTTTAATGTTGTGTGGTTCGACTTTGTTCTTAAATACAGAATGACCTCACCAAATTTCATGAAATTCTGACTATTTTTGTGATCCGCCCAAGAGTTGCAATTTTTCCTTCGAAATTGCGAAAACTAATTTTGGATTCGTTAATTTCATGTTGAAAAACACATAAATACCATAATGTGTCGAGATCCAAATTGGTTTCGTGGATCCCCGTAAGTAGGTATTTTGGAAATATCTCA